TTGTTGTTTACTTGTCGAAAAAGTTATAGTAAGTCTCAAATTCGAGGTTATTGTGACTTGTACAGGAAGATGTTAAGCTGATGGCAGAAATGGGCTTAGAAGCATTCAGATTCTCTATCTCATGGACAAGATTAATACCTAGTAAACCTTGTTCGGATTTCTTAACTTGCAAGTAATTATTTTGTTTCTTAACTCTTAAAACCATATTTTTTTGGTCTTGTCTGTGTGGTTCTTCAGATGGAAGAGGACCCATTAACCCAAAAGGTTTACGGTTTTACAAGAATTTAATCAAAGAAGTACGAAACCATGGTGAGATTTTTGTCTTTAATTATACTTATCACCAAGAAAGCCAATCCATAGCTTCTGTAATATTCTGTGGCAAAACTATTAACAGGAATTGAACCACACGTTACACTTTACCATTATGATCTTCCTCAGAGTCTTGAAGATGAGTACGGAGGATGGATCAACCGAAAAATCATGTAAAGGATTACAAAACATTATGATATAACAAAGTCTTATTATATACCTTTTTAAAGGTGAATTGAGAAAAAAGATTTGTTGTTTTTGCAGAGAAGACTTCACTGCTTTTGCAGATGTATGTTTCAGAGAGTTTGGGGATGATGTGAAGTTATGGACTACTATCAATGAAGCTACGATATTCGCCATTGNTTCTTATAGCGATGGATTTNNGCCGCCTGGACANTGTNCTTCTTCCANATTNATCAATTGNTCTACNGGAAACTCTTCTACTGAACCATATATTGTTGGTCATAACATATTACTAGCTCATGCTTCTGCTTCAAAATTGTATAAACTCAAGTACAAGGTATATATATATATGTTCTTCTACTGAACCATTTCTACTTTTCACTCTTAAAATCATATGATGGTGCAGAGTAAGCAGAGAGGATCCATAGGCCTTAGCATATACGCATTCGGGTTATCTCCTTATACCAATTCGAAAGACGATGAAATCGCAACGCAAAGAGCTAAAGATTTCCTCTTTGGCTGGTGAGGAAACAAGTTTTCTTCCTTTGTTGTAGTAGTAACTTTGATGAAAAAATCTGATAAGACTTTGAATTAATAATCCAGGATGTTGAAGCCTTTGGTATTTGGAGACTATCCTGATGTAATGAAGAGAACCTTGGGACCGAGGTTACCGGTTTTCTCAGAGGAAGAGTCAGAGCTAGTTAAAGGATCATCAGAATTTATAGGAATTATCCACTACTTGACAAATTATGTGACAAACCGTTCATCCAAACCTTCTCTTCTTTCCACCAGCAAGGGCTTCTATACCGACATGGGCGTAGAGATGATCAGTAAGATTACTTCCACTTCATCAACAATGAATCGAAAAATGCTTATAAACTCTTTTAGCTGATAATTCTTCTTCTTTTGGATAGACACTGGGAATTTTTCATTATTCGAGGTAAGAAACTATTGATTTGATCTTCTTGAATATAGAATTTTTTTCTCATTTAATTGCTTTCTTCTTGAAGTGGGAAGCGATTCCATGGGGTCTTGAAATTGTCTTGGAGTATCTAAAGCAGAGCTATAACAACCCTCCAATCTACATTCTTGAAAACGGTCCACTACATTCTCTTTTGTCTCTTTGAAAGCAAACTTTCTTGTTCTTGCCATTCTTCAAAATTGCTATTAAAACAAACAGGTAAACCGATGAAACACGATTCGATGCTAGAAGACACGTCAAGAGTTGAATACATGCAAGGTTACATTGGTGCTATGCTCAACGCCATCAAGTATGATTCTCCATCTTAATCTTCGTATCCGGTTTAGTTGAGTCTTTTTTTGTTTCTTATAAATCTTTTGGCTGATCAGGAATGGATCGGATACGAGAGGTTACTTTGTATGGTCCATGATTGATGTATACGAGTTATTGAGTGGATACACATACCCTTTTGGAATGTACTATGTGAATTTCAGTGATCTTAATCTTAAGAGGTCGCCAAAGCTCTCTGCTTCTTGGTACTCTGGTTTTCTCAATGGTACAATTGATGTTACTTCTCAAGATATTACTCAGTTGCAGAGCAACTTCTCTGGTTCTTCTTCTATGTAATTTAGTTATATATTTGTAAAGATTCTGGTTTGATTTTTGGCAAATGGTTTAATCAGATTTGCATTAGAGAAACCAATCAAAACTTAAACAAAAAACAACATATCATATGAAGAAATGAAAGACAAAAGACATAGATAGAATCTTAATCTTTGGATCAGTTCGTGGTCGGTTCAACGGTTAAGCCAGGAGAGACTTTAACGAAAGCCGGACGAGAACAGAGATCTTCCCACCACGCCTTGACTTTAGGACGGTCATTAACCAAACCGGCATGACTCGTCTTCATGAAGTAGTAAATGTAAGGAGCATGGTGGAGATCAGCGAGTGTGTAAGTATCTCCGGCTAAGTATTTTGCCTTTGTAAGTCTCTCTTCGTATACATCGAGCACTTTCTCTAGCTTCTTTAGATTCTCCTCAACGATGGTTGCATCAGGAGATCCCTCACCTTGAAGTGGCACGACGATGAGCTGGTGGATGACGGCTGAGATCGCCGGGTTGAAATGGTGGGCTTCGACTTCCGACCATAACTTCACAATGGCTGCTTCTTTTGAGTCTTTGTGTCTTGTCAAATCTGTTCCTTTGTCTTTATGTTTCTCTGCTATGTAAGCAGTGATTGCCCTCGACTCTGTTTTCAATTTATCACTATTATTGTTAAATCAAATCATTATGGTACGTAGGTAAATAAATTTATTGTATTGAATATTGATACGAACCAAAAAGTGTAAGGTCTTCGTCTTGTAGAACTGGAACTTGGCCAAAGGGCTGCATCCAAGGTGA